TGGGCTTCAGCTCTGCCTCCTGCTCCCAGCCCACTGAAGCTGGAGGCTTTTCTTCACTCAGCTGCTGGCTGCTGAGGCTGATAAGCCCAAGGTTGACAAGTAATAAGGCACAGTCCTGATATTTCCAGACTACATGGTAGGCCATTAATTCAAGTCCATTAAAAGTGCCAAGATCAACAGAGCACGGCAGCCTGCTGCGCAGTGACTAGGCTACATGCAGGGTTCAAGTGTGCCGTAAGCTAGAGACTGCTCTTCCCTGAGGCTTCTCCTTATGTGCAGGAAGCAGACCACATCCCTAGGGCAGCTGCTCAGCTCCTCACAGTAGATCCCACCATGGAGTTGATGACCAGTCTCATCCTGGGGAATACTACATCCAGCTGCCCAGCCATTCAGCCAGGCCCAACCAAGTTGACACACGACTTAACTACCACAACATCCTTACCAACTCTTACTATTGTTGACCAGTTTCATTTTTATTCACTTTAGCGTGTGTGAGGAGCCATGGTGGAGCAGTGATTAAAGTGCTTAGCTTCTAACAAAAAAGTCATCAGTTCAAAACCAGCTGGCTCTGCAGGAGAAAGATGGTGGCAGCCTGCTTCCATAAGGATTTACAACCTTGGAAACCAATCCCTGTGGGGCAGTTCAGCTCTGTTCTTTATGTTCCGTATGAGTCAGAATCAATGCAACAGCAGTAGGTTTGGTTTGGGTTTTGGTTGGTCTGTGTGTAGTAGAATGATGAGTAATGAATGAGGTTGAAACCTTTTCCTATGTTTGGCTGTCCTCTTTTATGAAGTACTTGTTCATGTCTGCCCATTTTTCTACTGGGGTTGTGTGTTTTTTCCTTATTGATTGTAGCTGTTCTTTATTCTGGATAAGAGCCCTTTGTCAGTCAGATGTGTTGGAAATAACTTCTCCCATTCTGACTTGCTCCCCCCCCCCTTTTATTCATCTTGTAATGAATAGAATTCCTAATTTTAAGATAATTACAATTTATCAACCTTTTCATTTATGGTTAATGCTTCTATATCCAATCTAAGAAAGACATTTTCTCTATTCTAAGGCAGTGGTTCTTAACTGGGGAGCATTTTGCTCCCCAGGGAACATCTGTCTGTGTTTGGAAACACTTTTTATTATCACAGATGGGGGAGGGGTATGCTCCTGGCATCTTGTAAGTAGAGTCCTGGCATGCTGCTAAATATCCCACAATGCATAGGACAGCCTTCTACACCAAGGAATTACCTGTCCCAAGATGTCATTAGTGCTAATGTTGACAGACGCTGCCTGTAGGTCGTGAGGATTTTATCGTCTCTGGCAGACTGCTGATAGTGGTTAGCTGTCATCATCGTCACTCCTAGTGACCCTGTGTAAGGCAGAGTGAAATGCTGCTGGGTTCTGTACCTCACAGTCATCGTCTGTGTGAGCCCGTTGTAGTCACAGTGTCAGTCCATCTCACGGAAGGTCTTCCTCTTTCTTGCTGACCCTCTACTTCACCAAGCATAGTGTCCTTCTCCAGGGACGGGGCCCACCTGATGACATGTCCACAGTCCATGAGTGAAGTCTCACTCTCCTTGCTTCATAGGAGCATTCTGGCTGTACTTCTTTCAAGAAAGTCTGCTTGGGGCACTAGTAACCCTGGGTCAGGAATTGAGAAGGTTTGAGGCAGGTCTTTAGTCCCTCCTTTCGGTTTACTGCTAGGATGTGGTCTTTTGAGGTGCTAACCCAAAATTGGTGTGGAGGGTTTGCGGAGCTTAGCAGAGCTTTACGGGCTCTGAACTTTAGGTGTTTGTTTTTGT